CACCTTAAAAGCCCCACTTTCTCTGTTTTTTGCTTCAATACTAATTATTGAAGCTGAGCCCATACCTGGTTCTCAGAAATACATGCTCTGTTAGTGGGCATTGAGAAGTATAGATAAGCAGCACTGGCACAAACATCTGGTCAGTATGGCATACAGAGATGGCACAGAATAGCATAAATATTTGGCAAAGTATGGTGCAGATGGATAGCAATGCATTAAATAGTTTGAACAGTTTGTGGTAATGGTACAGTACAGTTAATACAGATAAACTGTGCTAATTGCAGAACTTAAAGGAACAGGATTATTGGTCATAGACAACTCATGCAATGCTCTAACAATACAAGGAGTAGCAGCTATTTTTTACTACCCCCGTACTAGGTACGTATTTCATATATCATAGTTCAGTTGCTAAAAGGTTAACACATTTCTTTCTAATCAGGTTCTGGTGAAAGACACTTTGGACAACCCCACAGCAAGGATTCCCCTTACTCTATCTGGTGAATTCACCAATGAAAATGGTGAATCTGCTCCTATTGATAACGGTGAATCAATAAAACAAAGGACAGACATCAAAGGGACATCTGTGTTTGTCATCAACATCCCAGCAGGTGTCACAGCCCTGGATTTTAGGGTGAGTCCTACTATATCATGAAGAATGGGTGACTTCCTTCACGAGCCCGTATAAATGTCTTCTACTTTTCTCTCCAGATCAAAACAGATGATCCAAACCTTCAAGAGGAAAACCAAGCAGAGGCAGAGTTCAAGGCCACGTCCTACAAGTCACTGACTGAAAGCTACCTGTACATTGACTGGGCAAGAGAGAGCAGAATTTTCCAAGTCGGCAGTTTTCTAAATGTCAACATATTTCCAAAAAGCCCTTACCTACACAAGCTAACCCACTACAGTTATTTGGTATGTCTTAATGGATTTCAAAATTGTGGTTAGATGAACAAACCACACTTATATAGCACACACAGGCTTTCCTTTCCATCACTAAAAGGCCAATTTACCTAATAATATGTATTTTGGAAGAAACTCATATAAATATACAGAGAGAGTCAGGGAATTAAGCCTAGGACAACAGCATTGTTAGTACAAGTTTGCCCTTCACAGCTTCTTGAATTCTGTATTGTGTGCATTTAACTGTTTGGAGAAAATTTCAGTTAGCACATAACCTGTTTATGAGCAGATCACTTTGTCCAACGCCGCTCATTCAGCTGCACAGCCCAATCTTCATTAGTTTTCGCAAAGTCTAGAAGGCACAGGAGTTAAAGTGACACTAAACTCAAAACGTAAAAATGCATTCAAGTACCTTAACTATTAAGAAAAATATAGCTTATTCACTCGGCTGTAGATCCTCAAATCATCTCTGAATTGGTGCTGACACTGGGCTTATTACTGGAAAATCATAATCTAATGGGCTCTCAGGCCTTGTTCACACCAAATGCAGAGCAGATCTGCATGAGTTTCTGCACACGCAGTGCAGTGGGTTGTGCCGTGTTTTTGGCCGCATTTTTGATGCGTTCTGGGCCGTTTTTGGTTAAAAAAAATGTTTTGTTTAAAATGGGCTTTCAGTGCGTTCCAGGGTGTTTGCATGCAATTTTGATGCATTTGCATGCGTTCCAGAGCAGGTAAAATAGGACCTGCTGCAGTTTTTTGACCTGCTCTGGACCTGCTCTGGAACGGAACGCTGCGATGTGACCTGGAGCTAGAAATACCATTGGAATAGATTGGACGCAGTTTTGCTCCGGTCTGTAACTGCTCTGCTCCTGGAACGCGCTTGGTGTGAACAAGGCCTTAAAGAAAAATATATACTGTATCTCACTTTGCACAAGTAAAGGTTTCCATGCATTTGCCATAAAAAGACTTTATCTGACTTTTGGTATCAGCCAATAACTGCATGGTGTGTAGGCCAAAACTGGCTTTTAAAGTTTACAGTTATCCCCATGAATGTCAAACAGGCGGGATGGCAGAAGCAGTTAGGTAAGGGCTGTAGGGCTAAGTATGCAGTTCCCACACCACCAATGCAGTTGTCTCCACATTATATGCCTGTATACCTCCTACTGAAGAATGCATTTAAAATGGCAGGGAAAGAGTGATCACATCCAATTCCAAACTCACTAGATCATCTTTGTCTTACATGACAAAACCCAAAATGTCTACACAAGAATTTTACCTTTTTTGAATTGTGTGTCTTTGTATACAGATAATATCCAAGGGGAAGATCCTCCAATATAATACAGTGGAGCGGGTTCCTGGTTCTGTCTCCCAGTATCTAAACATCCAGATAACATCGAGCATGGTTCCATCCTTCCGTCTGCTTGTATACTATATTGTTACTGGAGAATCAACTGCAGAGCTTATTGCCGATTCCATCTGGGTGGAAGTCCAGGAAAACTGTCTTAATAGCCAGAAGGTAAGCCAGGAATACTGAAGATGATCACATTAAATGCTTATATGAGAAAAGGGGCTGACAGGACACGCTAATACTAGTAGCAACTCTGCAGGACAACAAACTCTTATCTCATATACCTCTTCTTTAGTTTCAGATTCAACTGAGCACGTCTGGTGGCACCTTCAAACCGAAAGAAAACGTAACACTTAATATAAATGCACAAACTGGCTCTATAGTAGCACTGTCTGCTGTTGATGTTGCTATTTATGATGTCACAAAAAAGTTTCAGAGACCTCTGGAAAGAGTTAAGTAAAAAGAAAAATAAGTGTGAGCTGCTTTTGCTTGAGAAGTTGGTGACTTGATGGCTGGCACCGTGTAAACCCTATGGTTGATAATTTAACCAACTGATGTGTTAACATCTTAATCTATATGGTGCTATTTTATTCCCCAATATGGCAACACTTGTATTTTACTTGTCATGTAATCTTTCTTTGTCACTCTTAATTCTTAGCCATTGGCATCGGACTAGGCTGCATTATATAGGAGCCAATTATTATGGTATAGCTGCTGATCGCTATCTTGGCTTCTTTCCTTTGTGGCAGGTTCTGCGCAAGATAGAGGAATCAGACTTGGGGTGCGGTGCTGGGGCAGGGCAAAACAACGTGGATGTCTTCCAAACAGCCGGTCTTACATTTATAACAAATGCCAACATCCAGGCTGCTCAGAACACAGGTAAGGGTGGAGTTTCAAATTCCCATTACCTGTATTTGTAATGAAAACATAAGTCGACATGTGTGTGCTGGTTATACAATGAATTCTCCTTTTAAGTATTGTTTATATTTGCATTTTATTGGCTGATCCGCATATTATGTTTAAATTATGCTTCTGATTAAAAAAATAATGCAAAATCATGTAGGTACATTGGAGAAAGCTGGAGCATGTGGAGATGTTGTCTATCTATAGAATGAATGTCTGCCTCATTAAAGTATACAGTACCGAACAATCTTACACCTCTCACTATGAAGGCATTGAAAAGCATCGACTTTCCTCCGCACCCAATTTCCCACCCTGATGGCTTAAACAAGTATTGTCTATGCTCTGTACCCATCTTCCACCTTTGAGGCCCCTTACACCCATCCCCGTGGCACTGAAAAGTGTAATCTGTCCTCTGTAGCCTTTTCCCACCTTGGTGGCAGTGAAAAGCATCATCTTCCCCTTGAACTCCTCTCCCACTCTAAATGTAAGGCATCTTCTGCCCTGCACCTGTCACCCACCCTGGAGGTATTGAAAAGAATCATCTGCCCCCTGGATCTGTAGTCCCTCTAGCAGCACTGTTAAGTATAATTCTACCCATCTCCCACCTTCGTAGCACTAAAAAGTGTCACCTGCCTCCTGTGTCCATCTCTTACCATGGCTGCACTGAAAAACGTAATCTGCCCTCTGTACCCATCTTCCACTCCAGCAGCATTAAAAAGCATTGTCTGCCCCCTGTACCTGCCCCCTGAGCATCAGGTGCTCACTGCATCCATCTCCCACCTTTAAGGCACTGAAAAGCATAATTTGCCCTTTGCGGCAATCTTTTACCCTGGCAGCACTGAAAAACATCATCCCCCTAGACGGCACTCAAAAGCATCATTGCTCCCCGCACCTGTTTTAGACCCAAGCATCACTAAACGCATCAACTTACCCTTGCACCTGTTTCCAGTCCAAGCAAAGTTGAACAGCACCAGCTACCACTACATCCGGTTCCTACACCAGCAGCTTTCAAATTATGGCCAAGGTACAGAGTTACTATTATTATCAGTGCAGAACAATTGTTTAATTTATTTAGCTGTAATATTTGTCTCATGCCACCCTTGTACAACTTTTAGCAGATTAGATACATTTCCTATCCAGCTCTGTGCTGTTTCTTCTATGTTCCAGAAGAGGATTATTTATGTTGTCCTGGGATACAGCACAAAACTGTCCTCTGCATACAGCAGGGTCATCTTCCCAATTACTGGAAATAAAGAGCTCCAACTGAACTCAGAAACTGAAAATAATACACATGAAAGTAAATGGAATCAGTATAAGTTGCTGGAGGCAAAACAGTCATTGTAATGTGCACACTGTCTTGGTTGTCATTCTGCCCACAATTACATTTTATCTTCTCAGATTGGAAATGTGATGCAATACTAAGAAGTAAAAGATCGTTGGAGGATGAAATCAAGAAAGAAGGTAATTTGGGAGATTCCTAGAAATACAATTGCAGATTGCAGTGTAACTCCAGACAAAACTTTCTGTTTTGGTTTAGATGGAGGGACGAAGGGTTAGAGCTTCTGTCAGATTTCTATCCTCATCTGGAAAATCTGCTCACTGTGTTAAAATAATCTACCAATGCAAAATCCAACAGGCTTTTGGATTGGCATATTCCTTTTGTCAAAATTCTGTGCCGTGTAACTTCCCTCTCATGCAACAGGTAGTTTGGCTGAAGTGGGCTCAGTGTGAGGGTGGGGCTAGTACCAGGGAACACCTTTTTTCACAGGCTCATACCTAAAGTGTATGTGAACCCTAACAATGAACTTCTCTTATTTACTCCCTTTTGGTCAGCTAAATATACCATTTAAAGTGTTTTGTTATATCTGTTCACTAAATGAAATAAAATACCTGTTGATTACACCGAAAATCTTGTGACCTCACAACGTCATGTGGTTTCTGCCTGTGCCAGTAGGGGTTATGGAAATGATGATGGGGGAGGAGATCACGCGAGGTCTGTGTTCTTTGTATCAACAATTATGTAGGCAGGGCTGACTTTTACAGGGCTGACAATTACTTTAGGATTCTGAGCCAATAATACATTAGGTCAGATAAACTATTCCCAGTGCGCCAAATATTTGGATGGGCCAAATAATAAAATGTAAAGGGTTTGAAATAAAACATGCAACTAGTGGGGCAATTGTGAAAAAAAATCCCAAGTGCAACTTTTCACACAAAAAGTCTCACAATTTGTACCAAATAAATCATGGTTCAGAAGCTTCTTATTAAGCGTATTTGGCACAATAGCGGTGTGCAGTAGTGCGCCAAGAGGACATTGATGAAAGACAGTTACACGTTCTACTGTAAGTAAAATAAACTATATGTGCTGCAACATAATAGTTTATTTGACAACCACCAATCATAGTTTATTGGGCTGTCTGGCTCAATTGCTGTCAAGTCAAAGAGGCACATTTCTGGCATATCAACAGTTGTATTCAAAAAGCAATTTTGAAACCCAGGAGCTCAGTCCATACAATTTGCTACTTTTTGCGTTATTCCTTCTCCCCATTTTGTATACATATCAACAGTTGTCTTTCTGTACATGAAACATGTTAAAATGAATAAAATATGGACAAATTTGCATGTATTGCAGAGATGTACAAAAAATTGTTTTTTTTTTCTTTATATTGCCCTGGCGCTTGAATTTTTCCCAATTCCTATGCTATAAGGCCAACCATAAGATGAGTATATGGATGGGTCCTTGAGTCAGTTAAAACTAATACATTTTCATATTGCATGTTTTTATGTCTGGATGTTCTCTTTGAAATCCCAAATAGACGTAACTGCACTTCCCTTACAGCTGGAAAATTCCACAATGAGAGCGTTAAGAAGTGCTGCATGGATGGCGGGACCAATTTAATAAATGAAAAGGAGTGCAAAAAAGGGGTCGAGCGAGTCGAGAGACGGAAACCAAGCTTCCCACTATGTGCAAAAGTGTTCGCAAAATGCTGCCAGCTGGCCAAACAGCTGAAAGAGAAACTGGACATGGAGCACAAAGAGCTGCAACTAGGAAGGATGTGTAAGATTTATCCTACTGTACCACATATCAGAATACTATTCTGATTATTATAGGTGTATATAGCTCTGACAAATTCTGCAGTGCTGTACAAAGAGCTGTACAAATAACATTCACATCAGTCTCTACACCACAGGAGCTTCCACCCTCCACAATAGTACACAAGGTACACTATTATTTTACATTTATATAGTTCCGAAATATTTTTCAGTGCTGTGAAAAGAATACTAAACCATTAACATCAGTCTCTGTAAAGGAGCTTACACTCCAATTTTCCTACCACAGTTGGACAATATTATTGTTATTATGCATTTATATAGCTCTAACATATTCCGCGGTGCTGTACACATTCCCATTAGAAGCATTCCCCCCAGTCTCTGTTCCAGAAGAGATTACACTCTAATGTCCCCACCACAGTCACATACTATAATTCTTTTTATTTTTATTATTATAATACATTTATTTAGTGCTATACAGATAACAATGAGACATTCACATCATTCTCTTCAGAGAAGCTTACACTCTAATGTCCATAGCGCAGTCATACTGAACAGTTCATGTATCCATGGTAAATGACTAAGATTAAGCTGTATTGTATGTATTTGAGGTTTTGTCTTCTCTTTCAGATATCAAGACAGTTTTTAATTTGGAGGAGCCAGAAATTCGCAGTTATTTCCCAGAAAGTTGGCTGTGGGAAGAGCATGCCATCACGGACAGGTATTCAAGGGGCTATGTAGGCAAAAAACATGAAGGACTCTACAGTTTGGTTTCCAAGAGATAAATCAGAAGTACAGTTATGTGTTATCCACAGTAGTATCTATAAAATCAGCATCTAAATACCTGTCACTATCTGAGCTTATCATCTGCAAGCTATAGCATTCACAGTAATACATTATACCAAACACACGAGAAACAGTTGTAGCTTCTAACATTGTAATCTGTTAAAAACATTATTGTTCTTTATATGATCTGAGTGCAAACATTGATTCGCAGAGTTCTGCAATAAACTCAGCATTCACTATGAGCATCTGTGATAGATCATACTTTATAAAATAAGTTTCTTAATACCTCTATATACTCCTCTAAACTCATAGGATTGTCTGTTTTTCCCTAGATACGGCGAGAAGAAGTTGCAAGTAAGTCTTCCAGACTCTCTGACCACATGGGAAGTGCAAGGAGTTGGCATGTCCGATAAAGGTGAATGTCTAAACCTCAGTACATGGACTTTCCCTCTTCTTGCAATATTAGGAATTAATGTGGCCGTGCTGCACCTCTTAATGGCTAACTTCAATGCCTACAACTGCTCAGCTTGCATTAATACTCCTTCCGGATGTTATCTTCTAGGTATCTGTGTTGCTGATCCACTGTCACTTACAGTGTTTAAAGACTTGTTTCTGGATGTGCAACTACCCTACTCTGTCGTGCGAGGGGAGCAAGTGCAGATCAAAGTGGTTGTTTACAACTACCAAGCTTACAAAGTTACGGTAATGATGGCACTTATTTCTATCTTAACACTGGACAGATCTGAAATATCCTTCATTCTAATTCACATCCATAAAAGTGTCTGATAGTGTACCTATCATGCCAAAAAGGTAACAGGGTAATAGTGTTACTACCATGTCACTATCCCACAATCCAAACTGTTAGCCTCAGTTGGCAATAAAGATTTAATATAGAATTAATCACATTTCGTTAGGTATAGTGTTACGGAGGTGGGGGGAATCTGGAGTTTTAAAGCTCACCATACACTGCAAGTCCCACTGACTATGCTGAAATTCGAACTGTGGGTGGCCCTGTCGGCAGCACTCCATTCCATAAAAGTCCATTTTGCAATTGACTTTTGTTGAAAGAGCCAGGCCAAAAACTATGACCCGGACAATGACTGCAGCCAGTCAGCTGCAGTAACAGTCTAGGTACTCTTACAGTAGCACACTCCCTGCTGTGAAAATACAATAGCCCCTTCCATGCAGGGCTGAACAATAAAAAAACTAAAACTGTATGGCCAACTTAAATCTGAGATTTCTAGACATGTGGGGGCTCCCCCAATGCGGCGCCTTCAGTAGGGTTCTAGGGCTATACTGGCCACACACACATAGATTAGTGAACGGTTGACCTCATATCTGATTATTCACATTAATAGAGCAATCGTTAATGACCGTGTGACCCACCATACAGTATATTGAGCACTTTCAATTCAGAAGGGATTTTATTAAAACATTTTTATTCACTAAAATTATTCCCCTATAATTTATTAAAAAACAACTACTTTCCTGACAAAACGAAATGCAGCATATTTATTTTGTTTTTCTGTCTAAAAAAACACAATTTATACAGGCAGAAAAATAACTGTAAACAGAAAAAAAACCTGAATAATAGGTCAGTCACGGATGGAAATAGTTTTTTTTCATGAAAACCCCAGATATATATTTGTCCTGTGTAATTGTTCTATTATAATCGGTCTACAGGTCCGTTTTTGATCAACTTTAAGGCTTGTGTTGACATTAAGATCATTTAGTTGCAATTAATTGCAGGTGCAGTTGACCTGCCATTAACCTGCATTTGATCAGCATCAAACTGTTTTTGCATTCCCATAGATTTGTATGGGGGGGGGGGTAAGGTGCGCGTGCGCCGAGTGAAAAGAGCCCGGCCCGCTGTGCGCATGCGCGGTGGCGGATCGCGATCCCAGGGCGGAACCCGGTAAGTCTCTTACATTATCGGTGATTACGCTGCAGCAACGCAGGGCCTTGCGCCCCCTTCTAGCCTGCCTACGTGACAAGGGCATCATCTACCGTTGGCGTTTCCCGTTCTGCCTCGTGGCAACCTATAGGGGGCAGACGGCTACGATCCGCCTGCCTGAGGATATACCAGACTTCTGCAGCCGCTTGGAAATACCAGAGGTCCAGATCCCTGACTGGTATGCGGACCTCAGGCGGGTATCGGAAGCCATGGAGGGACCTGACCAGATGGAGTGGGCGACGCCGCCCCATCTACAGCAGGGGGAGGCCGGAGGAGCCAGGATGCGCCCGCGGAGGCAACGGAAACAGCGTGAGGGCAGAGAAGAAGAAGCCTCCCGTCCCATACCAGCGGATGCCAGTAATCTTACCTCCCGGTCGCCATAGAGGGATATGCGGTCTGACCTCCGACCCATAGGTCAAGAATGGACACCCACAGCCCCATTTTTTCCTTTTTTCTACACTCAATTGACGTTTTTGATGTTGCAAGCAGCCAGTTTGGAGCTGCACGAAGGTTATTGGCACAGTCCCCCAGAGGCATCCTTGTTGCGGACTTAGGCCTCGGAGGCCCGCCGTGGTTCTTCATGACCAGCTTCAGGATTCCCGAATACGGACACGAAGTATAGCTAAGTGGGCATGCAATGGGAATGGTTGGGGTTAGACCTTTGCTTTCCGCGATGCCCGGGACCGGGACTGTGTTGCGCGCCCTCCCCCCCTCTGGCGCTCCCATCGGCTGCAAAGGGGAGGGCTGCGAGGCGAAGGAGGACGGGGGTCGGAGGGGAGGGGGGTGCGGGTATATTGCATGTGGTAGTGGGGTCCTTCACACCCATACAATGTTCGGCCACTAGCACGGTTAATGGGCGGGAGGGGTACATCTAGCAGAGAATGGGCCTTAGAGGAGGGGAAAGCCCTAGTCTCCTATATCTAATACCCGAAAGATGTCTGCATTACCTGTTGGGTGGTTCTGCTGTTTATACGTTCATAAGTTAGAATGTTCACTTGTCCGATTGTTGTAATACACGCTTGCGAATCGTGGGTCCCCTCCCATGGGAGGCCGGATCTCTGGTTCCTGTTATTGGTTTTTCGTGTAGGTAGACCTCGGATCCCGAAGTGGGGAGACTTGCTGAAGGCTACGTGCCCGAAGCAAGGCATCACCCACTAACATCCCCTGTACACTAAACCCGGGCGCGGCCCTGGAGTGGATGATTTCTCCCCTCCAGCTGTCATTTGGCCTGAGGTAGGGGTACTTCTCTGGTCATTGTTCTGTTCTATTGTTTACTACCTTTGCATAAGACCTAGACCCACTCCTGTGCAGGTCAGGGACTTGATAGCTGTACTTTAGCGGTTTCCTTCTCTAACTTCCTATACCTTCGTCTCCGCTTCCTTTCCGTCCGGGGATCGGTACCCGTAAGGTGTGTCATGGACCCACGAGAGGACCTCATAGTCCTCTCTTTCAATGTGAGGGGATTGAACTCACCTGAAAAGAGGGCCAGAGTCCTTGGCGATCTTAAGGCGGCCA